AGGTAGACACAGATGTTAAGTGGAAATTTTATGGCAATAAGCATTTCCAAAGAAAATAAAGAAGGGCCGGAGGACAGCTGAGATGTTAAGAGCAAGCTCTGCTGCTGCCGCAGACCTGAGTTCAGTTCCCAGCACCCACACCAGACAGCTCACACCTCCAAACTCAGTTCCAGGGGATCTAACGTCTAACTTGTCCTCTGCTTACTTCGTTCAACATTCTTTCAGTACCTCTCCTTATAGCTGAAAAGCTCTCTAAAACGTTTCCTTGTTAAATGGAAGATTATCAATTTCATGCTAAATGTATGAAAACCCTCATTCTATGGGAAGACATGTCTATTAATCTTTCCATTTTTTTCCCCTTTCTTGTTAAACAGTTGTTTCATTTCACATTGGATTTTTCTTTAGCAGAGTCACAATTTTATTTTGTAATTATATGTGTTGATTATATTCATAATTATACTTGATATTTCTCTGCCTGGTTAGTGAAACTACTAACACAGCAACTTCCTAGTCAAAGAAAGTACAAATGGGAGCTAGAGAGATGGCTCAGCGGTTAAGAGCACTGGCTGCTCTTCCAGACCTGGGTTCAATTCCCAGCACCCACATGGCAGCTCACAGCTAACCTGACGCCCTCACAAGAATATACATGCAGGCAAAACACCAATTCTCGTAAAAGTTAAAAAAAAAAAAAAAGTATTTGTTTTTAAAAAGCAAAAAAATAAAGAACAAATGGAGAAAAAAATTTGCTTTTTGAAACCATTTTTCTAACAATGATGCTGAGATTGCATATTTTTGCATCTTGTTCTAGAATTGCCCTTATGATCAAGAAAAATAATCTTTAAAAAAAAAAAAAGAACCACTGCTGGGCAGTGGTGGTGCATGCCTTTGATCTCAGCACTCAGGAGATAGAGGCAGGTGGATCTCTGTGAGATAAAGGCTAGTCTGGTCTACAGAGGAAGTTCCAGGACAGTCAAAGCTACCCAGAGAAACCCTGGTCTCAAAAAACCAAAACCAAAACAACAACAAAAACCAAAAACTCACAAATAATCTAACGTGAAGGTGCTCTAGCAGGGCCAGAGCATGGCAAACATGGTTCTGGCAGGCCTTGTCCTTTCCCCATTCCCTCTTCCTTGCTAAAAACATTAGATTACATTCCTAAAGCCAGCCATCAGGTCCCTTATTTGGTCACTTCCTCCAGGAGGTTGACCACCAAGGTCCAGCTATCAGAGTATTTAAATCCCCTTTTGGCTCACCTAATTAACATGCCCAGTCAAAATTAAACACCTCATCCTAACACAAGTTTCCCCTTTCCCTTTGTAAACTGCCATCTGCCTATGGGCCTCATCTGTCTCCTCTATCCAGAGGCAGTCCTTTGTCCCTCCGGGGCAAATATCCCTTCCCCATCTCCCTTGTCCTCTATCCCCTGTCTTTGTCTCTTATTCCCTGACACTTGTCCTCTGGGGCAAAAAAAAAAAAAAATCTCCTTTGTGCTGAGAACTTGGTCTTGGGGTGTCTTGGGCAAACTTAAAGGTCCCTTTCACTAACACTACTGACTCAATCACATAAAAATTCCCCCACCTAGGAAACATCTGGGAAAGTACCATCACAACTGCATTCTACAAAGTACCTAAATAATTCAAGAAACCTTGTGCCCTTCCAAAAATTAGAAGAGTAAGAAACAGTTCTAAATTCATCACTATGCAACCAAAGCCAGACACAGAACACTATGAAGAAAGACCACTAGTATCCTTGACTATGAAATGGCTAAGGTGGCACCATCTTGTCCTGACTTTATTTTGTATCTGCCAAGAAACTCCTCAGCATTTCACCCCCAATCCACATTTTGAGATAAACACAAATTATGACAACTCATCATAACCAATCCTAACCTGCAGAATATAAGGAATCCTATACCAAAGAAGACAGGGTCATCCACGAGAGCACAAGAAAGGAGACACTGCCTAAGATGAGCACATGTATTAACAAAGGAGAACCTGGAAGAAACTCATCATATCCCAAACAGCAAACTCCTAATACAAATAAACAGGGGTGAAGTTCAATTCCACATGGTGGCTCACAACAATCTCTATAGGATCTGATGCCCTCTTCTGGCATAA